GCAGGATTGTTTTCCTTTTGCAACCTTCCAGTACAACAGACAGCCTCTGAGCAGGGTCAGGTGAAATTAGGAACTTCTGTATTCCTTTTTACAAAATGTTATCCCAAAGATTCAATAAACTATACAAAAGTAAAGTGCTGGAGGTCTATTTAATATTTTAGAGAGCCTGATATGACATGTCAAATGATTAATGCGAATGGCTGCAGGGTCAATCAAGTCTAAGTGGGTTTTGAAATGCTATGGAAAATCAGAGGATAAATGAAGTTGATCCAGAGAGCTCTAGCTTGTCATTTTGTATGTATCATAATGCAGATGGAGGTGAGTCTTACCTTTTGTCTGCAGAGAGGGCACGTTATTGCTGCTAACCAGGGACTATGTTTCCAGTATGTGATCAGACAGGAACCTACCAAAAAAAAAGAAATTGTATTAAGATACATGAAATATAATTGAAGCAATTTAATGTTTGCAAGTAAGTTATCAGAATTAGTAAACCCTTTTTCTACAACTGACTGTAAACCCGCATGTAATTCCTTGCTTTCATTTTAATACGTGGTTTTACTCTGCAAAGTGACAGTGCAAAATTAGCTCTTCTACACTGGTGCACACGGCGATACAAGGACCTCCTAAGGGAGACTTTGATTCGGTTTCTTTTCCCGCGGATAGCATCTTGTTCTGGAAGCTCCCCTGACTGCGGCCAAAGCACTGAGGATACAGACACTCTCCAGGGCACAGCGCTGGCAGCTCGGCACCAAAGCAGCACGGTGCGTAAAGTTGGAATTCCAGCATGGCCTTTAGGGGTTAGGAGGGTGTTATTCCAGACACATCGACACACACGGCCTAGGGACAGCCTGGTGAGGCAGACTTCTGGTGGCACAACGCGCATCTTGGTGATGAAATATCATACATTGAGTTATTTTGTCCCTTTGCTTTTTTTTTTTCTTCCTTTCTCTTGCTTTCAGAGTCTAAGGCAGTTAGATGAGAGTGCACATGTAACTGACAGCAGAGGTTGACATACACGGATGTCAGTGCTGGCACTAACAACAAAACAGCAAAGCATATATAGCGTCTAATCAGAAGCAGCACAGCTTGACTTTCAGCTCCCGGGCGCAGTGTGCGGCGTGACAGGTCAGGGAAAAAACTCACTTGGCATTTGAACTGATCCAATTTGACAAGGACCCCAGTGAAAACAGATGCAGAACACTGCTGCCATTTTGATGGAATTGTTTTATTGAATTGAACAGTGCTCTTTGTTCTTAAAAATAACCAGCAAGTAGTTTCTTGTAAGCAAGACTGTAACAAGAAGTTGTCAAAAGCCCTCAGTGTAGGGTGTTTCTGCACCCAGACTTAGTCAATTGTCACTGGAAAGGGGAATGCTGGAGAAACCGTGTTCGAAATCAAGTATAAAAATGTTCATGACACTATCAGATGTAGCTTACATGCTAGGACTAGGGATGTTAAATTTGGCCCAAAGATATTTTTTGTGAACATCGCTCCAACTTGTTCTTTTTACTTGTTTTCATTCGACTGCAGGCTTTTTCTTTATGACTCTTCTGTTTTGTTTGCATAGACAGACGGGTTGGCTGGGCACACGGCAGGGTGTGTATTGAAATCCCCACGCAGTCTGTCTAAACTCCGCCTGGCAGCCAGCTTCCAGCTCTTGCTTAAGCTTTTGCATTTGACAGACATCACACCTGACTTTGGGAACCACTTCGACCCACTGGCTCCACGTCCCGTATTGTGACCCACACGGCTCTATTGCTGTGCCTGCGCTCAGTCCCGGTGGTGACAACAGGGCACTGATGATCCCATAGTTCTTCGAGGGCTTTCGAGAGAGAACCCTGTGGAAATTAAAGTTTGCTGCCTGCAGAATCCTTTGTTTAGTGGAACAGGAAAGGAAGGACTCCTCTGAAGTTGACCTATTTGTGCTTGGGTGCATTCTTCCTGAAATAGACGAAATCCTGTTTTAATCTAGCCCGCTACACAGCCTTCCGAGGGAGTCTGTAGGTTTCTCAAAAATACCTCTGTGGTTATTGTTAATTAGAAAAAAATAATATTGCTCAAGGATCGCTTTTCAGTTGAACTTCCTGAACATATGGTTCAAACTGAAGCTGAAAAAGAAAACTTCAGGACAAACTGTATGAATTACTACTAATAATAAAATCAGACATTTTTTATAAGTCCACATTAATCTTCTTTAAAAGCTCTGGGTTGACCACATTTTTTAAATAAAACTTTTACCAGAGCGGAATTTATTAAGGGAGCTCAGTGTTGCCTTAGCTCTGTTCCACAGGGCATCAAGAGAAGTTTTATTACTGATTTCAGTCACAACAGACTTAGATCTACGCAGAATGGTTTTGATAAGCCCAATGTAAAGTTTTATTGGTTTAAGACATGAAAAACAGACATGTTACAGAGGCCGCTTCTACTATATAAACCTAGCCATAACATATATAATGCATTGCACTGGAATCTCTGCCTCAGAGTGTAACTGATGATGGACTTGAGGAAAGTAAACCTAGCTAAATATATACAACTACCAATAGCACTATATCCTGAGCTTGGGTATGGTATTTCTCTGCTGCAGATCGCAAAATAAAATAAAGTCCATGTCATCGTTGTATTCACAGATGAGAAAGGGAAAATTAGCCAGGCCAGAGAAAGAGGAAAGCTGATGATCTCTGCTGTTATGTCTATCCTTGTACTGAAACTATAACCCCTGTGACATTATTCGAAACATATTTTGAGGCCATATGCTTACTGTTTGTCCTGGAGTGAGCTATATTCAAAGCATCCTTTTCCTGTATATTATAAGAGTGTTGTAAAACCACAAAACAACCTGAAGTTTTGAATGGTTTCACTCATGAGGTAGATAAGCCCTACAAAGTGTCCCTGGCTGTTGGTGATCCGCTGACATGTGGTGGTTTATGGAGATCAAGGCAGTGGCGACGAGGAGTTGTGCTGTGTGAGCATTGTTTCAATGACGTAGAGAAAAATGACACTTCCTGAAGATAAAAATGTGCTTTTTTTCCACCAGCATTAACAACGCTGCCCCTTGTTCTCATTTGTGCTTAGGTTTTTTAATAACATTGTGATATGGTGAAGTGTAAAGGGTTTGTAAATATAACTTGTGCTTGCTTTAAGGTCTTTGCAGAATGCCGAAGGAGTAGAAAGCAGCTTTATGGTTCTGGCCTGTGTCTGCTGACGTGTCGTGCTGTTGCAGTGTCAGTCTGTGCTGCCTGCAGCTGCCTGCTTGCCCTCTGCCAGAGATCACTGATCTTGTGCTGCGCAGCACCCCAGCATGCCTCATCAGATCACACACTCCAGTTCTCTTCTGCCAACCCCGCTGTGGGGACCACAGCTTTCGGCAAGGATCCTGGTAGGCGGCTGGGGCAGTGAGGTGGTCACCTTCACCTTGGAATTCACTGGATGATGTATCTCAGAGGTCTGAGAGCAGCAATGTTCAGTTCAAGGCTTTATCCTGCTGCCTTCCAAAGCAGGTGCAAAGCTCCCAGTGGCTCTAGTGGTGCAGAATGTGGGCCTTAAAAATCCTGAAATCCCCTTTATAAATGCAATTATGAACATAACTCTCTCCTCTATTCTATGCTTCTTCCTTATATTTCCTTTGAAAACTTATTTAAATTTTGTAATCCTAAGCATATGGCTTCGCAGCCTCAAAGAGGGCATTTAGCAGACATGTTTTTCTAGAGAATTATGGTTTCACTTAGATTATCCAGTGACTATAGATGTACTGGGGGAGGACAAGAGACCACACCACAGGCAGCCTCAACAGAAGGGCCCTCTAAATCTGGATCTGTCCCTTCCCTGTTACGACAGATCCTGGACTGGAATAAACAGTTACTGAACATGCATCGTGATGAGATGTCTTTGAGCATTTTACCCCTGTGTGACCGCACAGATTTACTTAAAAAACAATCAACAGATTAAAACAAGGTTTATACATGACTAGAAACTCATTTTTTAAATTGTTTAATATGTAACTTCTGCTATTTGTTTTTGTTGTTGTTGCTTAGAAAGCTTTTACAGGATTACAAACCAATGTAGTTCTGCCTTCTTGCTCCAGACCATGTCTGCTTTATTTTAGGCAAATGTTTCACATAGGAAGCAAGTCTGTGGAACAGAAGCAGACCTAAGACACCAATATATATATATATATTCAGAATTAATTTCATGGGATAGATGGATTTTTATGCTGTTCATTAAAAAGACAAGCTGTCTTCCCAGAAGTGAGTTCATGCTTGAAGATAAGGCTTCATGTTTGTTACATCTTGTGCTTTCACAGTTACAAACTATGTGATTTTTCGACTCTTGATTTTTCTAACAGTTGGGTTTTTTGTTGTTTTTGTTGTTGGTGGTTTTGGTGGGTTTTTTTCTGTGTAGCTGAATGCAAATTGTGATATTTCTGCTGCATTTTAATAATTTTGTGAGTTTGTATTGTAATCTAACAGTATCCCATGAGATGATCTGTTACTTCTTGTCGTCTTAAGATTTCTTGAGCATTTCAGAAGTGGCACTTTGTAGGTGTGAAATCAAAATGCTGTTACTGGGTTTTTAGGGGGATACAAAGATGGGACTTCTCATTGTAATGAGAGTGCTTACATTAACTCCAGGGAGAAGAGTTTCATCCTGGTTCTTAGGAGATTTCTGTAAGAAGAGTGCTTTATTTAGTAGCCCGGATAAGCACTGTGCCATCAATCTGGAAAACTTACCGCAGAATAAATGTCCACAGTTGGTTTCTACTGGCAGAGTGGCTGTCTGGAGACAGATAGGGCAGCTGGAGTCAGTGTGATTACTAGGTTGCCAAATCTGGAGTGATTCCTGGAAAAGAAGTAGTACAGAGTCTTCAGTAATTTAGTATTTTGATTGACATATTCAGTTCATTAACAATAATTTACTATAATTAGCAGAGAGTCACAGAAACTAAGTATAGATGTCACACATTACTAATGGTTACTCTGGCAGATAATGAAAATTGGGCAAAGAAATGAAGCGCGTTGTGTAATCCTACAGAAGGGACCAGCATCATGATGCCGTGTTTCTGCTTCCAGTGATACATTCACACACCACTGGATAATATTTATGTTCTGAAAGCCAGTCAAGTTTGCACCACTGGCTTGTCTACCTGTCCTTACTAGTCAGACAGCACCCAAAATCTGCCTCGGTAGCTTTTGGATCTTTTTCCTGCTCTTTTTGAGTTGTGTCTGTCACTTAAGTGTACTGAAATAAAAGCCGGTGTGTTCTCTGCCTTCCTTGAGTGGCAGAATGGGATCCTTGGTGTGCACCATAGGCTATGCAGCAAAAAGACTCCTTTATTTAGGTAAATAAAGTGCTTCCAAACAATTCTTCCCTTTGCGCAGCAAAGCCTATAATTAAGAATAATTGTAAGCTTTGTTTTTAGAGTGGGAAGATAAGAATTCTGTAAGCCTCTGAAATGCTAAAGAGGTATTTTGAAATCCAGTGTTTTATCATATTTCTGGAGGGGAAAGGCTGAAGGATGTACATTTGTCTTCCAGTCTTTTCTCCTAAATCACTGCCTGTAAGCGGTAAAAGTCTATTTGGCAGTATATTAATCTATGTCAAGATTGTTTGATACAGTGAGAGATAAAATAGCCTTTCCTACTTGATATTGATTCCTTACCACATTGATAGTTTTCACTACCTTTATTGTGATGGATTAGATAATGTTTAAGGGATGATGGACTTGCCTGTTTCATCTTAGCACACCATGGAGGAACTTACACTTGACCATATGTTCGATTGCCATAACCACAATGAGATCAGTCTTTGAGGAAAATGTAGTAAGTGTGGTCAGCGTCCTTTCTTTCTCAAGATAGTTATTGCAATATTTATATCAGTCCCAGAAACAGAGGAGCTCTTCTGAAATTAGGAGAGAACTTCCAAGGAAGTTCCTTCACTTTGAGGCAGAGTCTCGAAGGTTATTGACTGTCCTCCCCTGCCTAGACACATTCAGTGAGGTTCAACAGGAGATGGCACCAATTAGAAGTTTATTTTGCATTTTGATCAAAAAAATTATGAACTTCATGTGTTTCTAAATGACTGCAGAAGTCCAGCATCATGTGGGATAAGTATTAGTTTTCCATTACTGGAGGCATTCAGATGAGCTGGTGGCAGACTTTGGGATTACAGGATCGCTGTATGCGTGCTGTCCCTTGTTGCCCAGTTTGGCTTGCTTACTTGTTTTTTCAAATACCTGACTGGCAACTATTTATAGAAGTTTTTATAAAGAGAAAATTAAATAGATATCTATTTCCCATGTCAAATATTCGAAGATCCGGAGTGACTGAAGATTCAAGCTCATTTGACAACAAAGATTTTTTTCTAAGTAACTAATTTTTCTAATGTAATAATTCCAAGAAAGAAGGGAGAGGTCATCATGTAGGTCTGCCAAATGAGTGTTCAGGAAACTGGGTCTCTTGCCAGAGTCATGTCTAAAATGACAATTTCACCAAGTTACTTTATTTTTTTCCTTCCTGTAGTGAGGATCGGTAAATAAGAACTGGAGGTTTTAAAACAACATGCCATAACTACTAGAAAAAGTCTTTCTACCAAACTGTTTGGGAAGTTATACAGGTACTTATTTCTGAGTCTCAACAGAAAAAAAATCAGATGCTGAAGGCATTTACACTGTTTTCAGATTTTCCTCCTTATGCGCTGATAAGATTATCTCTTGCTGAGATAACAACCACATGAAAGCCCCACAAAGCTGGGGTGACTGGATCTGAATAACTAAAACACAGCAATGATCAGATTCAGGGCATTATTAGAACTGATATAAGCTGTAATAGTTTTCATCAGCTGAGGAACTGCCCCAGAGCAGTTGTGTTTATAAACATTGCATACATGACATAAGCTGATTAGATATCTTTATTTTTGCGAAGTAATAACGCACACATTTCTTTGGCTTTGTCTCATACAACAAAGGGAACCAAATGTGTTTCTGATTATGCAGTAGATACCAAGTCAAGGGAAACCCAGCATTCCCAGACCATAACTGATGGAAATTTTGAAAAGCTCGCTTGCCCTTTGCAACCTCAAGAAGTTGAAACCGCTCGTGTATTTTGTATCAGAATGTGTTGTACAATAATTAACTCGCTATATGACTCCCAGGGGACAAATGATTATCGTTTTTTTCCAGATGACTCATTTTCTGCTGACTTACATGAGCAAGTCTGCAGAAACAGAGTTTGTGCTGTTTGGAAAATAGGAAAACTGAATGTTGCCATGTTGCTGTATGATGCCAGTTCTGGCTGCTGAGGTAAGCCTCTGTGTGAAGGAGGGCAAGTTTCTGTGGAGACCGTGAAAATGCTCAAGCTCTGCTCTGAAAGTATTTGCGTTAGAGTTAGGACTATGAATTACAGCAAAGAACCAGTGATCCTGTACTAATGACCCTGGGTGAAACATATGTGGGTGAAGAAAAATCATTCAAACCCATGGAAGAGCATTTTTTTTATCTTCTTGTAATCTCTTAATGAATGAAGCAAGGTGGGAAACTCAACCAGCTTTTGCAGTATGACTAACAGGTGGCAGATTCAGAGGTAAAAAAAAATAAAATAATAGGCAGTTCTTTATTCCATACACAGTTAAGCAGTTCTTATGGATACTAGAAATTTCTGCATTCAGCAGGTACTGGACATCAAATACTGTTAAATGCAAAGGTAATACCTCTGACTGAGGAAGTTCCTGACCCATAAATCTCTAGAGAATGAAAGAATATTCTGGGGAAGCACCATTAATGTTTCTTTATTCTTCTGTAGTCACCTGTTGTTGCAGATGGCCCAGGTTTGAGCTGGTATAGCCATTCTTACATTAATAGGGCATTTGGGGGAAAAAAGAGCCTTGGGGTCACCTTCAGCAAAGATATCAATGGCTTAGTCTTGTTCCAAATGGATAGGCTAGGGAAAACATGCCAAATCTTTTATTTATTTTCAATAGATTATGTATACATAATCAAATTTCTGATTTATTGAGCCCAAGCACTCAAAATGGTGTTCAAGTTGGCTTTATCCTGATTATAAGTGGACCACCCAGCTGGATCTGATAGAAAGAGAAGACAGATGATATCTGACATAGCTGTAGGTCTGCCAGAATTAATTTACCCCTTCCAAAATCTTGAGCCAGCCTTTGAACATTTGAGCTAGCAGACTGAATTAGAGATCGAAGTTGCGATTATGGCAGTTAGTGTTTAGTGTCATGAGGCTTTGAGTGTTTGATAGCACTGAACAGCCTTAAGAAAATAAAATATTTAGTTTGACTTTGCCTAAAACTACCGATTTTTAAGAAGCTTTCTCTCATACAGTAGTTCTACATGTACTTACAAACAGCACAATTATATTTTGTGCTTGAAGCTTTGAGAGTGCCCATAAAAGCTACTATTTCATAGCTCTGTATGTGGATTTTTATGCCCATCTCACCTTTGAAAATCTCAGACCTGGATAATGCCATACCAATAATGTAAAGCAGCTTTGATCAATAAAAAGGGGACTATGGAGGTAAATTTCTAGGTAGCATACTGAAATTCGACTCCTAATTGTTGTTTCTAACCCTTATGTTCTTGGGAATCACGCTACAGCCAGAACAGGATGGTAAAATGTATAGTCCAGTAGAAGTCAATTTACTTCATTTGGAGAAAATGAAAAAAAATACCACAACCAAAACCAACCCCCAAAATTCAGAACTGAATTATTCTGAAAAACAGAATCCAAAAATCCAGAGAATGCCTTCAGCTCTCCCACCTCAAATTTTAAGTGCCACAATACCTATCTTGTAGGTATCTCCTGCACTAGGAATTCCCTAGTCCAGAGTTAGACTCCTGAGCACCTTATACAGCACAGAGAAAGATGGAGACAGGTAAGGATTATACCTAAGTCATCCAGGCCAAGTACTGGAGATGCCTACCTTTAGCTGACAGCAGTATTAAACACATAGGCTGTGCCTCAGCTCTCAGCGTTTGCAATGAAGACCCATCACGCTCTGAAGCTGGGGGACCCAGCGTCCTCTCAAGCACATCGGAGTATTCTTTGAAAGAACTGGGCAGGGCTCAGCATTTTCAAGGAGTGGCACTGGTCACTTTTTAAATAATTCTGAGTGGTGTTGCTGGTGTAGTGCTTTTCGCTGACCAGAGACTGAACCCCTGTGTCTGGTCAGAAAACCCTCGTCACCACACCAGTGGGCACCATGAACAGTTTTTACCAGACCATGCACCTGAGTTAGGTCATCGACATAAAGTGACTCCCAATGTCAGAAATACGGGGGGAAGTACTTTGCTTGACTAGCAAGAAAGTAGTAAGTCGAATGTGCTGTGATATGCATGGTCATATAGGACAGAAACAATAAGATTATAGGGGTTGCGATGGATGATGATGTACAGTGCTTTGTGCTAGATTTTAAATTTGCTGTTTAGCAAAGACCATGGGAAGTTTACATGTTTATTTTTAAATATAGTTTAAAGTTTTTCTTAAATTAGGTCCTTATGTTTATATTCCTTTCCTGGTGAGTACTACAGGTGCTTTTGGGGACAGATTTGCAAAGGAATTGGTGTGTTGGATTAGAAGGGTATAAACTGTTCAGGAAGGACAGGCAGGGGAAATGAGGAGGGGGTGTTGCCCTCTATGTCAATGAACGGCTAGAATGCATGGAGCTCCACCTGGCAAGTGATGACCAAAGAACTGAGTGCCCGTGGGCCAGGGTGAAAGGAAGGGCAGGCGACTTTACAGTGGGGGAGTGCTACAGACCACTCAACCAGGAGGACCAAGTGGACGAGGCCCTTCATAAGCAGGTAAGAGTTGCTGCTCGGTCAC